TTTTTAATGAATTATCATAAAGTTACAGAAAAAGAATCTTAAAATAAATTATAAAAAAAAGAATTATAAATAAAAAATTAATTATAAAACAAAAGAGTTGTCAAAATAAAATAATCAAAACAAATCGTATTGCAAAAAGATAATCGCGAGTCTTAAAATAAACTAAAGAGTTAAATTTACTGAGAAATGTAATAGTATGATAATTTTTAATTAACTACGCTTTATCCACTAATGGATGTGTGCGCGATCCGGCTTTAGTAATATAGCATGCGTGAAGAAAATCGCAGGCTCGAGGTTTACGATCTCGTAAATGCTGCGCAAGGGTTAGAATAATCAGTACACCGGTTATACTTTGTAACGTGATATTTTCTTATTATAACATCTGCAAAAAAGACCAGTCGCGTTACATCTACAACTCCGTACATACCGCCGTTATGCGTCTCGAAACAGGTTACATCATCATCAATAATGCTTTTTATTATTCGTCGTGGCGTGTTCTACGCAACGCTACGATACAATATATATATATATCCATTTTATATATATTTATTTATATATATTTATATTTTTTCTTTGCAATTCATTTATATATATGTTCATATATTTTCATATTTATATATTTATATGCATTCATATTTATATTCTTTATTTATATTTATATATATTAATTATTTACACGTCTTTTATACAAAAAGTTTTCACGACTTTATACATAACTATATGTATAAGAACGTCACTCTCTCGCGCCCTGACGTACCTACACACACGCATTCGTTTATAATACATTTTTGAGTTTCGTGAGCAACCGTATCATCGTGCGAGCACCTCGAGAGGGATCCACGTGAGAGATGGGAACACCGTGAGAATGTATCGACAGGGACTCGTTACACTTTTATGTTTCAGTTGGATGGAATAGTGAAAATCAAAGTCCGTCGCGTGTACTAGTTTCTTTAATAAATATTGCGATCAACACGTATATTAGACTTGCACAAATATAAAATATTATATTACAATGTAAAATAAATTATAAATCCTAGATTAAATAAAATTCGTCAATTTTCTCTACAATTTCAATAATTGCTTTAAAGCGAGCAGCATAAAGTTTTGTATTTTATCTTTATACATAGAAACATAAGAACCTTTAACAAAATAGCTATATTATTAGATTCTACTTCCGTAAATTCATCTTGCGTTTTCTGAAATGAGAAATTGTTTGTAACACTATTCCGTCCAATAGCTGATTTATCTGATCGTCATCGATTCCTTCCACATTTCGACAAATGACAATCACTATCACTTTCTGATGCTGCTAAATGAGCGAAGGTAAGAAAGGCGAACGTAGAGTGTACAGAAATTATGGTATCACTTACAAGCGTTTAAGTACTCGATGTATGGTAGTGATCGTCCTTTTCCAGATCCGAGTCGACGCTTCCTTATCTCGCGTATAAGCCCCTTATTTTTGAAATGGCATACAATTTATAAATGTAATTTAATCAAAATCCATTTCAGGAACAAATCCAGGTTGTTCCTAGATTAAGAAAAAAGGGGTAGAACTGTATTTAATTACGTATAGCTATATATAGACGGTGAAACTTAACGAAAAATGGGGGCAATATACCCGCAACAAATTATATGCCTATTTTGCGAAAATCTGGAAAAATTGCGCACTAATTTCGATAATGCGGAACTCATATATTCGCGAGCAATTCAGCTACGGTATATCGTCAATTGGATCCCGCTCGAGGAAACCCAATCGCAGAATTTCCTTTAAGGAACGACCGCTGCTTAAACATATTAGAAATATCCCATATACCCCTAAAAAAAAAGTGCTCCACTAAGTAACTAGCTCGACATTGCCACATTTACTATAACGTAGTATTGAAATATCTCCTCTTAATATCATTAAACAACCCTATACAACGCGCCGAGTCCGTTGTGCTGTTGTTGTGTATACAATATATTGTACAATATATTTATAAGATAGAAAAAGCACCGTTTCGAAAAATCGGGTTTCATTTTTGACATACATATTATCACATTATTTTGCGATCTCGTTCTCTCTCGTTCCACACATACACATACGTATCATACATTCTCGTGTCTTCGCTTTCTTTTTCTCCCTTAATTTTTCTATACGCATAAACACACACATACACGTACATACACATTGAAATTAACACTTACACATACACATCTCGCAACGCTGTTCGCATTTTATGCCTGTTCAACTCACAGTTATTCTTTATCTGTCGGAGACCCAGCGACAAGCAATATCGAATATTCCTCATATTTCAATCAAAAATATATCTCGATATACTTCGTAACGTTGTTATCTCAATTTTAACCCGTTACATCCTAAATTAAGATATTTGCCAACCATATTATATTAATCTTGCTTAAAAACATTCAAAATTCGCGAATTATAATGGGTTTAGCGAAGGAGCAACAAAACATAAAAAAGAAAACTCCGTTGGAAATTATATTAATTATAAAAAAATAATTAATAAAATATATAATTTAATTTAATAAAATAAATAATTAATAAGAAAATAATCAAATATCAATGTATTTTTCATTTCTAATCTACATTATCAAGATATTATCCCAGTCGCTCTTTTCATAAACATCATTACATTTTTTCCATTATACACTTCAAATATACATTTGCATTTAATAGTCTTATACATACCAGGATGTAACGAGTCGTAAATTGTCGCTTTTTTGTACAATTAAACAAATCATAGAATCATCCGTCGAGATTTCTAGCCACACTGACAATCAGAAACGATATTTAATAACGCGAAATGTGTTATTGCGAGAAATAACAACGAAACTTTAGCGCGTTTCGTCCACAATCGGAAGTTCGTAAATTCGCTCTATTTAAGCATCTAACAAGGGAATCTAGCAAATTAGGAAGTTCTAATTTTAATGAAACTTTGCATATATGGAGTAGGTAAATAAATTTACAAATTTTTAATAGGTATCAAAAAACAATTTAAGGAGTAAAATCACACCTCATGTGTAAAGCGGCTTTCGCTTTTTCCCTATAATATATATCGCCGAAACTATTCGACATTTATCAAATATGTTTTATGATAAAAGCATCTCTATTTAACCACACAAATAACATTCTGAAAAAGTATTTATTTTTAAAAACTTATTCCTTTGCATCTTTTATATAGAAAAATATCTATTATGTTACAGTAGAGTCTCTCTAATATTGACTTTAAAAAATTATGGAATACTCCCACCACAGAGTGGACTGCCAATCACCGTGTACTTGCGGGAACGCGTGATATGGAAGGGGCACGATATTAATGTTGGTGAAAGTATGTGTGAAGGAATCTAAAGATTACAGGGGACCAAATTTAACAAGACTCTACTGTATAATATTATAAAATAAAAATATTTTTATTTTAAATAATCTTATAATTCTTTATATAAACTTGTAATTGTAATTTTTGACTGAATCAAACAAATCTCAAGAATTTTCTCATTTTTTGATATCTCGAATAGTTTTAAAGATATATATCGCTTTGCATATGAGAAATAATTGTTAATGTTTTTTGGCACCAACTGCAAATTTCTAAATCTATCTATAATATTTACATCCATTTACATGTATGCAAGTCTCCGATAAAACCCGATTAAAATCCGAATTTCCGAGTTCGCGAGGTTCTTTTGCCGGTACAACAAGGATAATGACTTACCCTACCGCAGCGTGTTTCCACGGGACACCTCGTCTGCTCGTCTCGGATCTATCATCTCGAGTCAGCTGTGTTCCGAGTAGTCTATCGATTGATCGGTCGACCGATCGCGCGTGATTGCCGCGGAATTAATCATGACGCGATGATGTGACGTGCAATGGCACTGGCATACAAAGAAGACGTTATATCGCACTCTCGAGTGGTCTCGTCACGTACGCTCTTAAGTAACCCAAGGTAAAAATATCGTATTTACAAGATACATAATATTGGCTGTATATATGATATCGCGCGGTATTGTCATCCAAGTTGAACGTCACGTGTGGAGTTTCGTCGTCGTTCGCTGCATTTCTTTCTCTCTCTCTATCTCTCTCTCTCTCGAAGCTCCTTTTCGAGAACGATCGTCGTCGGGTTAGATGAGACATCGAAAAATCGCCGCCGTAATTCTAGTACAAGTAAACGCGATCGCGTTAAACGCCTATATTCGCAAAAAAACGCCGCTGTTACAAATATACCATTCGCGCGAGCGCGAAGGAGCCTAATTTATCTCGCGCGATCTCATAAGTTTCCTTCGTTCGCGCCGTAAAATGCAACGCGCTTCGCACTTTACATCCTACTTACAACAAACAATTTCTTTTTATATTTAGTAAAGTCGACTCTTGTTCGCTAAATTACCAGATGTGCTTGACGATGCCCGACTTTCTTAGCTCCTATCTAAAGTACTATACATAAAAATTTTTGTACAATATATTTATCTTTAAATAGACGAACTTTTCGATAATGTCGTGTACCGCAGCCTTTACAGATCATTCGCTTTTTAAAAATATAATAAAACAAAATATAAAGCGGATTTGACGAGACATCCGAGCGACTTCGGAAAAGTATAGTGAACAACTTAACAAATAACAAAAGTGATCGAATTGTATTTATTGAATTGTAATACGTATAGCTAAAAATATCGCAAACGGACGAAAAGTGGAAAAAAAATGCGCAATACAAAATTAAAATTTACAATATTAAATTAAAATTCGTTCAAAATTATTTTCATATATAGCGATTAGGGAATTTTACTAAAAAAAAAAAACTTTTTCGAATGTATTAATAATGATTTTTCTTAATATTAAATACAGAGCTCAGATACATTATCATGCTTCGATTCATTATGTAAAGTATTAGTTAAGATTATGCACAGATTTAATAATTTTAGGAAAGGTACTTTTCGCGAAAAACATGAGAATTTTCAATTCAATAAGTGTATCTTTATATTAATCCGAAAAAAAAGAAAATTTACACAAATAATTTACGAAAATATTTTATTACGAGACACAGGCTAAAGTTTCTGAGATGCCAAGGTCTTAACGTCGTAATCGAAGAATTAGGATACTCGATCGTGATGACTACGCGAAGATAACCGAGGCAAAATCATGACTTACCGCCGGTAATCCTCGAAGATCACGGACGATTTCGACGAAAGGCGACGTGTGGGGATTTAGATCTGCGATCAGTGCGTGCAGGCGCGAGCGTCGTCCGACCGAAAGGGGATATTTCCGAAAGAATGTTTCACGGGCTATGAACTTGGAGAACGCTGCAGCCTCGTAGGAGAGGCGTCAAGACGAATGACTAAGGCCCATGGCATGACTCGACTAATAGCGAGTACTCGACGCAAAGATTGATTCGAGATAGCGATGGGAGATCCACCGGCTCTCTCTCTCTCCCCCTCATCGTTGATTATAAATGCTAATTTATGACTTCTTCACGCCACGCTCGTCTTCCCGCTGTCTCTCTCTCTCTCTCTCTCTCTCTCTCTCTCTCTCTCTCTCTCTCTCTCTCTCTCTCTCTCTCTCTCTCTCTCTCTCTCTGTCTCCCTCTCTCTCTTCCTTCCACCCTCTCTTTATTTCATTCTTTGCTACATAACAAAACGCTTATCTATCTATCCCTTCTCCCTTGAGCCCCCATATCTCTTTCAATCTCTCTTTCTCTCTCTCTCTCTCTTTCATTTTTATTCATTCGCTTTCTCTCGCTCTTTCACTCGCACACGAAACAACTGACAAGCTTTCTTGCATGTACAAATCTCTCCCTCTCTTTCACTCGACCACTTTAGTGAGTACCAAGTTTTAACGCCCATGAACGTTCTTGAGCGCTCGGGCCATTCGGCGCCTCCGCGATTTTCTGAATGAACATCTTTATTACGTATTTTTCTTCTTGTTTTCTTTTTTTTTCTCTTTACCCCTCTCTCTCTCTCTCTCTCTCTCGCCTTTTTCAGCACGTCACCGAAAATTCCTCTCCCTCGGCGAACAAGACGATCGCTCCTCATTGCACGCCCACCTTTCTCGCCGCTCTTCGCGCGCATTATCCTATCACTCTCGGTCGAACTGCGTTAATGATCTCGCTTAATTCTCCCCCGCTCTCTCTCGCTATCTATACGCTAAAACCTTCTTCCTTCATTCTTTGCTTCCGTCGATTCCGTCCTCTTTCTCTTTTTGACGTCAAGTCTACTCAGGGTCACAAGTCTTTTAAATTCTGACTGATATTCTGATTCGTCGCGAAATATCGTGCCGATCTAGCGAAACGCGAGTATATAACAAGTATCAATAACGAGGAATATTGTCGCGTCACGCTGCTAAGAGCAACGCGGATACGTAACCGGGTTAATGACGACGTTGACAAGAACGACGATTCGACCTTCGACCTCGAGGCCTCGCGACAACGAGGCCGGAGTCGCGCCCACTGTGTCCGCCGTCCTCGTCCCCCTCCCCTCTCCCCCGTATATTTGGGATTCGCGACGTCGCCCACCCATTGTCCGCCCTCGATTTTTCTCTTTACTCGTACGCGAGTCGGGCCTACGGGTCATCGTCGGGCGCCGCGATACCGCTGTTCGACGTGTAATATTATGCGGAAGCTAGCTGCCGCCAGACAGAGTGTCACATCGAGGATATGTAGGGCCAGTTGAAGCTGTTGCCGCTCAACAGCATGTCCCTGATGAGCGTCTCGATCGGCGTCTTGCCCACCAGCCGCACGAAGAAGAGCTGCTCGATTACCTGCGACGAGACCGTGCGCAACGACGGCAATCGCAGCAGCAGTTTGCCGAACCTTGTCGGCTGATTCGGGTACTGGGTCCGGCAGTACTCCTCCAAGGCGCACTGCGACTTTTCCTGAAGGGACTCGATGTGCGCCACGTCCGAGAGACCGCAGGCGTCTGTAACAGAGGACCAAAGAGAGAACGTTTAGATACACCGCACAAAAATTATCTTCGAACGAAGGACAATTTCTAATTCAATCCAACTATACAACTTCTGCAATAAGCATGCAACAAATTCCTGCTAATTATCAAATTATATAACTATTATATCTTCAATATGATGCTATCAATCTTATATTATACCTTGAATAGCATATTATATCTTCACGGAAATTATTATGTTATAAAATTTCTTTTATTATTTCTACGCATTATTATTACTAAATTTCAAAGTGTCAGATAGCGAAGCAAATATATATTAGTCTTCATTACGCAAAGTATCGTGGTACAACTGAAAAAGGTTCAGTTATGCATGAAAAAAAATGTATAACATAGAATACAATTATTTCATATGGACGGCTAATATCGAAATATTCTGTAAAATATAAATATTTGTTGTAAGGAGTTCGTTTCTCCGCGCCTTGACCCTAATCTGTTGCTCATGTTCAGATAGAACGGCAGCCGACGGTAGAAAATCTCAGTTTTTCCGCTCCGAACGTTTTCCTCGTTAGACGAAGCGTATCTCTCGATACGCGCGGATGGCGATAACTGTTGCCGTTTAATTTACGTGCGCAAAGGAAGCACCTACGCTTTATTATCGCGGTAATTATCGTTGTTGCCCATTAGCCAAGGCATGATTAGCGAGCCGGCGAACTCTTTTCTCGACGATCGCGATTAGAAGGCGAGAGGAAGAGTAAAAGAAGAAATTATACGTCGAGCAACGACGAGTGGATGATCGAACTTGTAAAAATATTGTCACAACAATATTTTGCAATCCGGAGATGGCGTTTCAATCTGCTGCGTCGAAATCATGTGCCAAGATTGACCGCTTAATTTTAAAAAGTTCTGCAGAGTCAATAATTATCTCGGAATTAGTTGGCGCAAGTGACTATATTAATTAATCTAGTACAAAAAAATTAATCCAAAGTAAATTGATGAATCCATCGCATAATAGATTACAATTACTCTCAGCTAATTTATTGCGCAAATAAGAAGGAGCGATTTGGATCACTGTTGTCAGGCCCGGACGGTGCTATAGTAGGTGACTCGTCATTCCAAGGGTTAAAGCCCTTGTCAAGTTGCAACGGAGACTGCAACCCTCCGGCGCGACGAGAGTGAGATTCATGTTGGAATGCACGTGCCAACCGGAGACACCGCCGGTGCAAATGTCAAACTAATCACATGGGCCATCTGCTCACTTCGGCTTACCCGTGAAACCGCGCCATTGTTTTCCGGAAAATGCAGTCTTTTGTTCGCATAGTGGAAAAACTGGAAGAAGAGAAACGATGCATGTGGTCTGCCTAACCCGATAGGGTGTGCCGCGAGAATAGCAGTATTACCTTTATCTTAAATGGTAATTTTATAATCGCTTTTATTTAAATAAAATTTTATTTAAATATAATAAAGTAGCTAAACGTGTTTGCATATAGATATAGATACTTCTTTTATTCACATGGAAATAATTATCTCTTATAGACAATTTTTTAACCATATAATACCTAATTAAGCAATATGTTTTTATTACTGGGAAATATATCATAAGCTTTAATGTTAACTAATCAGCATCTTGATATCTTTTTTCTTGTTAATTTCTTTACGTTTTTCACTTCTCATGAAGAATCTTCTCAGTGTATAATACAGAATTTTATTTTTCGCACGTGGTACTTCAATATTCTTTTGCAGTTGCAAATAAAGTCATAAATTACTTTTTATCAGTCATCAGCACATTAAAGTGCTAGTGCTCATCATTTCCGTACGTCACTTCGTCACGTGCGTGTTAAGGCAAACTTCATTATCACATTTCTAAAAAAAGGGGGACTACGTGCAACAGTGGACCAGGACGAATCGCTCTATTGGGAAACGCGAATGTGCGTGTGAGAAATCGGGGTTGCTGTCCGCGCGCATAAATCGACGAGGATGGCCGAAAAATGAGCATGCGTGCATGAGGGTCGGTGGCTCTTTTTGCAAAACTCTCGAACGGGACGTGCCTCGTCGTTCCTCATTACGCGCGATCCTCGCACGCGGCGCGTGCATAAACGCATCGCAGACGTCAGATTCCTTTGTGATGGAGTCCACGTGCGCATAATGGGCCATTATAAGTACGCAGGAAAATAAAACGCGATTCACGTTTGCATTTCCGAACGAGACCGTTCTTCATGCGGTGACGACGTAGAAATCGCGCGCGGGCACGAACGAAATTGTCCGCGACCGAAACCGCAAAGTTTGCCAATTATTTATTGGAGCAGGTAAGCACAGCAAATAATTCAATAAGGAAACAACGCTACATTTATTTTAATCTAGTGTATAATTACAAACCGCGAGATTACTATTTATCATAGAAAAATTAATTGTTAATGAATTATAAATAAGCTGTTACTAACTTATTGATTGATATTATTAACAAGCTGAATTAAAACGTGGTTGTTTAACTCAAAAAGATTGTAATAATGTTTATCGAATCACATTTTCCTTCGTTCTTCCTGTATCTACAATAAAAAATGGAAATTATTGTTAAATTTATTTAATAAATTAGTATAACTTGTATTTATTATTAATTATTTAAAGATAATATTTGAATAGTTTGATCGACAAAGAACGATTTGCTCAATAAATATGCTTCTCTCATATTAAATATGTGCTATATCTAACAATAAACTCATTCGTCACTTTGCCGATAAGACTTGCGACACAATTGTTTGCATATCATTGCCAACGCTCGAGGGAACACGTTGTCTTACGAGATCTTAACAGATCACTTGCAGCCTCTGCTTCTCAAGGAGCAACACACCGCGTCGCAGTTCAATCCTACGGATTGTATAAATATGCGTGAAAATTAATTTCTATTATTATACCCGTTATTATTACCCGTTGTCGAGCGACAGGTTATTTTCCGTTTATGTTGCATCCACGTTGCGTCGAGGACACTCGCATCGACGATCGACGTTTAATTCCTAAGCGCATGAACGCACTTTATCGAGGCATGGGGGATCGTTAAATGCAGCTTCGGACGACCGGTGTGCCGCATAATTGTAATCTTCTTTATAATACGAGAGGGCTGCTACACATAAAGACTTGCAAAACAATCCTCATGTAACATCTCTTTTTTTTGCAAACGTTTGGGTAAAGAAACGGAATGATAATCCGACTGCATTACCGCCGGACAATTATCATAATGTAGGTCTGAATTGCATTGTCATGCATCAGCTCCAATTAACTTTGATGGTCTTATGCGCGACTCAATGTTTACTCCTCACATCGTTACTTCAGATAATTAAATTTTTTATTGTCCTGCGAAACAAAAATTAATTGTTGCGCAAAATGAAATTGAAAAAGCAACAAAAGAATTGTGAAGCGTATCAGAAAGAATTAAATGAGCCTTTATTATCCAGATAATATATCTCTAGTTAATTAAAGTTCTAGTATTATACCTTTTAAATAACACTTATTAAACAGCTAAATTATTGTAAATTTTTCTACTATATTTCTATGTTAATAATTCTTTGTTAATAATTGTCGCGGGACGCGGCTGGAAATATCAATTTGTGGATTGGAAAATCTGAAAATTATACGTGACAATTGTTTAATAATTTCTAGTCCTCAACATCTTTCTATTTGAAAGCTAAATGTTAAAACAATCAGAAAGAAGTTCTCCCCTCTCTTTCTCTATGTCGCAATGGTGCTGATCGACGAAATCCGAGCGCGATCCGCCGCGTACCCGTATCAGCCTCGATCGACGAGGTCTCAATTAAAGAGACCGCGAGGAATCCGCCAACGCGCGGCCAATAAACAAACTGTCGGATTGGCTCTGTACGATGTCGTCAGCGCCAATTCACCGCATCAGTTCGAATAATACCGTTGAGTGGCGTCTCTGGTTTCCTCCTCGCGTCGTCTCTCGTCACATTTTCTTCTTCTCTCTCTCGTCGCACGCGTTAACCGCTAAATGCTGTGGCGCCTCGTTGACCGAGCACCAACATAAATTGACCAATCTTCAGTAGCGGGGTCCCTGAGTCCCATTGCCGTCTTCCAGCGCGCTGCCGCGCTGGGACACACCTCCTCGGGACCCCCCGCACGCTGGATTCGATTGACTGACATTCGACTAACTAGTTATCAATATTGCACGAGTTGCGTAGCGATATTGAATCAATTATTGATGGCCTCGCGATGTTTTAGCATTGGCAAGCTGATTGGTGGTAGGGTGATCTCAAAGGAAGATCTCGTTCCTAAAGCAAAATATCTAGATTTCTTTAAAAAAAAACTCTGATGAGATTGAAGAAATTTGATTCTTTTTTTAATATTATAAATTATGAAAAAGTATATATTTCGCCCATAATTTGATAACTGACTATAACATCTTCCTTTATGAGTTTCCACGACAATGAGTGTGGGAGTTTTATGTCTTAGATATCTTTAGATGGTGGATCATGGTGCATTGTGCTGTAAGTGTAACGATGCTATTCTCTAGACATATCTGATCTACGATAATCGCAAAAAATTTGCAAAATTATCACGTGGGCGTACGAGATTAGGCCACACTCTAGGAGTCGATGCCACCTTGATAGCCAGTGTCAGAAACTTACAATAAACATTTTGTAAAATTAAGATAGATAAAATCGCGTCAGTTTGACAAGCTTTTCTTTGCGTAACGCGTTCTTTTTTTTTTCCAAGTATATTCTTCAGTCATTTTCTGTCACGCGATCCTTGTTGTCGCTTCCTCGAAGCTAATGTCAGCCGCTCGAGTTCCAACCGTTTTCCAGTGCGTACCAGCTAGATCCAGCATCACTCTTTGCTTTATTAGTCTCAATTTCGTCGGGAGATACTCGATGTCGTCAACCGCTTTATGACTATAATTACGATGCATGTTACGTAATTTTCACGAATAATTCATTATCATTATGCTTCATAATTTTTCACAAACCAAAAACTTACAATTTGAATTCATCTATTAAATTGATAATGAT